GGCAGGGGCCTTGATGGTCTTATTCACTAAAATGACTCCAGGACAGAGCACTAGCCAGGCACATAATAGAACTTCAATAAATGCTGCTAAATGAATAAATACACAGGTCATTTAAAACCAACAAAGAGTAGTGTCTAGGTTTCCAGGACATTAAAAATTTGCTTGGCTAGACTTTCTACTTTGTATTTTTCTGGTTGAATTATTCTTGATTTGCTTCATATTTTTAACTTCTCTAAGTACATTTATGCTACAGCAATATTCTCACTGGTGTTTTCAGCACCTCTTAATTTAGTATCATCTGTAAGATTTCATTAATTTATTATTTACTGCCTGCTGAAAATCATTAATGAAGATGTTCAATAAGAAAAAAGCAACATCATTCCCTATGTACTGCAGCAGAATCACTAATCACTTAGCAAATACTGAAAAAAGCATTTTAAAAAATGTTTTCCCAAATATATATACAACCTGTACCGAAAATATTAAGCACAATACATTTCATTCAATTGCTTCCCTTCTTTCTTCCTTGATACAAATATTTAAATTTTCACTTAAGCTCTAAGGCTGTGAAGATAGGGAGAAGAAAACAAATTAACTAGTTCACAAGGACCTAACTGCCTATTCTGTTAATTCTGTTAATTCTGTTATGGAGATACAGACAATCCTCTTTACTCACCAATTTTGTAATTGTGAATTTCCCTATTCACTAAAATGTACATGTAACTCCAAAATCAATACTCATGGTGCTTTTGTGGTCTTCACAGTATGTGCAGAGCTATGAAAAATCTGAGTTGTCTGATGTGTACATTTGTAGCTATAGCTCTCTTCCTTCTTGTTTTCACCCTCACACTGCAAGTAACTGTCTTTTTTCTGAGCAATTTAGTGCCACATTTTTCACATTTTTTTGCTTTTCTTGGTGATTTTGATGTTTAGAATGTCCCCTAAGTGTAGTGCTATAGGGTTATCTAGTGTTCCTAAGTGCAAGAAGGCTGTGATGTGCCTTACAGAAAAAATAAGTGTGTTAGATAGGCTTCATTTAGGCATGAGCTATACTGCTGTTGGCCACAAGTTCAATGTTAATAAACCAATGTCATATATTAAGTAGGCATCTTCAGGCAAAAACACCTATAAAACAAGGTTATATGTTGACTGGTTGGTGAAAATGTGACCGCAGGCTTGCAGGAACCTAACCCTGTATTTTTCTTAGGAGCAATGGTTCAGAATTCTCTAATTAAACATTTGAGGCAACTTTATAGACTATAACAACCATGAATAATGAGTATCAACTATGTCTATAACATGCTGTAGGAGTGAGCATTATTCAGGATGACTTCATATAGGAAGAATGCTTAAGTAAACATTTGAAAAATTAGAAGTTTCAAAATGACAGTAAAGGTGTAAACAATGAAGTGCACAATGAGAATAAAGGACAGTCCAGGCAGAAGGAACAACAAATACAAAGGTACAGAGCAACAGATTATAACCCCTAGGTCAAATCCACTCCCTGTCTACTTTTGTAAATAAAGTTTTATTGCAACATATCCATACCCATTTGTTTATTTATTGTCTGTATATATTTCTAGCCCTGGCATGGAGGCACCAGATGCACAGTGTATTTAGGAAAAGGGAATTAGTTTGCTATACATTTTCATGTGGGAGATGCACAGCAAATGAAGACAGACAGTTGGCAGGAGTCAGATGATAAACAGTCTCATAGGCCAAAGGGTTTACATAGGGGAGGGTATGTTAGGTAACTGGATGCACTATAGAATGGAGAGGAGAAAGACTAGAAGCTGGAGGCCAGTGAAGAGGCTTTGGAGATAAGTCTAGCTGAAGGAAGATGGGCATTTGGTTCCTACCATGGATCACAGGGAAAGGGGACAATCTGAAAAACTTTTAAGGAGATGGAAGTCATTATAACTTTGTAAACATGCTGGCTTGGAAAAGCATGGAAAAAAAAAAAAAGAAAAAGGAAGGAACAGAAGATGACTCCTGGGCCTGAATTCAGTGAACCAGTGAATAATGGTGCCATCTTCCAAGACTTCAAGACTTCAAGACTCCAAGAACCCAGAGGAAGAATTTGGAGAAAGGGAAGATTAGGATTTTGGTCTTGGACAATTTGAACTTGAGATATACTAAGATATCTAAATGGAGATGTTGTGTGACCATCTGGATATACAGATTTGCAGAAATAGGGAGAAAGGGCTGAATTGAATAAACAGCTTTTGGTCATACAGATGATAACCAAAACCATGATTGTGGTTAACTTAACAAGAGAAGGCAAAAATGATGAAAGACTTAAGGAAGAAAAATGGTTTCATAGGACAAAGGATGAAAGAACTGACACATCAGACACAACAGCCAGGCATGAGTAGTGTTAAGATTTTGCCCATAGTTTGAAATAGTGGGTAAACAAGGAAAGAACCACTGATAGATCAGGTATCATATGGATCTGAATTCTTGTCTTATATGTGTGTCAAATGCTTTATATTTATGTCATCTGATTCCTCCTTAATTTGAATGAAAGGTGGCTAAATCCATTCCACAACTTCAAGCCGGAATTAAGGAAATTCTGCAATATCCAAATTTGGGCAAGTGCCGAAATTCAAGGGTCAACTGAAACAAACTGGAGTGTTATCATACTGCAGGGGCAGGTAGAGAGGAAGTACCAAAACATGGCTCATGGTTCTGCTGTTCAGATTAAATGACCAAGTAGGAATTAGTATCTCTCTTTCAAAAATATGGGGAAATTGAAGCATTTATTAAATGCTTCCTGTGTATCATGCATAGTGCTTGTATAATTAGAGAACACTCAATCTGAAGGAGCTCTTGAGGTACACCTTGCTTTAGAGGCAACAAATTGTGCTCTTCAGAGTCCTAAGCAAGCCTTCCTGGGTGCCAATCCCCATTCCTTGTGGCAGAACCCAGCTATCTGCTTAACAAACCCATCTCTTACTACTCTTGGGTATAGAAGAAGACCACATTTCCCAGTCTACCTTGTCCATTAAGTGTGATGGAATTGATACGACCAGTTCCAGGCCTGGACCATGAAAAATCTCCCATGGGTAATCCTCTCTCTCTGTTTCCATTTCTAGTTGGGGTTAAAAATTTGAGCTGCCTTGGACCCCCCATGTTGAAGGTGACAAAGACTGTCTACTAGGGTCTCTAAGTGATGATCTACAAAGAAGCTTAACCCTTCAACCCTTACTTTTGACTATAGATGACTTTATGTGAGTGAGAAATATTTTGTTACATTACTGAGATTCAGGGTCATTTGTTACAGTAATAATGATAATTAACTAATGCACTCGTCCTTAAATCTAAACAGCACTGTATTTACCATTTTCACCTAAAGGGTTCCATATAAATAGGTGTTTGAAAGCAGGAAAGATTTCATCACTATTAATAATAATAGTTCCCCTATGAAATCAATGGTACATATAGTGTCATTTGATCTAAACACTAAGAGACAGTATATTGAAATGAAATATAATTTGTTTAATTGATCTACCTATCCCTGCTAGAAACAGATTGCTTCTCTTGACTTAACATGTTCTCCTAGCTTCTTTTCTAAGCTTCACCATAGATTATGCAGAAGGACTTTTGTTTTTAGGACTTTATTTCAAAAACTGTAGCAGTTGAACTCATTTAATATTCAAAATAGAGCTACCTTATGACCCAGCAATTGCACTACTTGGTATTTACCCTAAAGATACAAATGTGGTTATCTAAAGGGGCATGTGCACCCCAATGTTTATAGCGGCAATGTCCATAATAGCTAAACTATGGAAAGAGCCTAGATGTCCATCAAAAGATGAAGGGATAAAGAAGATGTGGTGTATGTGTGTGTATACACACACACACACACACACACATATACATACATACACACACATATACGTATATGTATACACACATACAATGGAATACTATGCAGCCATCAAAAATGAAATCTTGCCATTTGCAATGATGTGGATGGAACTAGAGGGCATTACACTAAGCGAAATAAGTCAATCAGAGAAAGACAATTATCATATGATCTTGATGATATGTGGAATTTGAGAAACAAGGCAGAGGATCATGGGGGAAGATAGGAAAAAATGAAATGGCATGAAACCAGAGAAATGGACAAAACATAAGAGACTCTTAATCTCAGGAAACAAATTGAGGGTTGCTGGAGTGGAAAGGAATGGGAGGGCTGGGGTGGCTGGGTGATGGACACTGGGGAGGGTATGTGCTATGGTGAGCACTGCGAATTGTATAAGACTGATGAATCATAGACCTGTACTCCTAAAACAAATAGTATATTATATGTTAATAAAATAAATAAAGTAAAAAACAAAAAACTAAACAAGCAAACAAAAACAACAAAAAAAGAGAGACATCCAATCACCTGCCAACTAAAAATGCACTAAGCACGGTATTTTGTCTGGGGAATGTAAAGAACTCATGGCCTAGGAGGTGAGACAGATACATGACCTAAAAAATACAAAATAGTGAGATAAATGCTAATAGGTTTACAAACAAATATGGGAGTACCAAAAGTAGAGCCACAACTATTTGACACTCCATAGGTTTCATATACTTTAATATCCTAGAGGATCTTTTATAATTTCAAAGTTTATTCATCAACAGTTAGCAATAAGACCCAAGAGTATAGTAATACATCTATTATTTCCCATTGCCACTCAGCACTTTCATATTGATTGTAACAACTATTATTGATGAATTTCTACTTTTGAATCAGAAAATTAAGGTTGTATAAGGTGCTTTACCAGTGAAATATAAGAGAAAGACCAAAACTTTGGGGTTAAAATACTTGTGGATTCTACTACTTTCTATTACACCAGAGAGATGTGATGAATTTCTGTACTTTGTCTATCATTGGGATAGAAAAGAATAATAGAATTTTAGAGATGGAAAGGACCTTAGAGATCACGTAATCCAACAAGATGAATAAACTTTTCTTTTCCGTTGCCGATAAGCTGGCAAAATCTGATGAATACAACGCTTTTGAGTTATAGGTGGCCTGATGAATCGAGACGGCCATGGTTCAGCCTAAGACACTAGAGTTTCTCCACACCACAAAAAATAAACTTTCTTCATAAACAAAGTCAATTTAAGTTAGGTAGCTTTCATCACTTCTATAAATATACTCTGAATGTGGGAACAACAGAAAAAAATGTACCCCGAAAGAAAAATAGATAAACTTTTGCTTGGTTTCCCCTTTGAGACTTCGATAGAATATGTTGCAATTTCCCACTTATTCTTTTTTTAAAGAAATTCTTTTTGAAGATGACTGCAGAATATTTTCAAGAAGCTGCTATGAAATGCATTTAAAAATGAACAATGGTTTCTCAATGATTGTTGTTTATTATCTGATAATAATCAGACATAATCAGATATTTAAAAAAATATTTCGATCTTCATCAATGACTTTGAGGCCATATTAAAAAAGAAGGTTGTGGTTCCAGATGTCCTTTTCCCTGGCACTTACTGTCAATCCCTGGGCCTCTGGTTCTCCTTAGACTGGGTTTTCCTGGTCACCATTATTCTTTCATCAAAGATAATTTTAAAAACATCTAGTTCATGAGGAAAGCAGTTGTCTAAAAGCTGAATAGAGTTCATTAGAAGTTCTCAAACCTGGCTGCATATCACAGCCCATCAGACAAGTTTTTTAAAATAAAAAGATTACCAAATCTTACCCCCAACAACTGATTAAGTAGATCATGTATGAGACCTGGGAACATGGAATGTTTTTAAGGTTCCCAGGTGATTCCTGTATACAGCTGAGTTTGGGATCTGGTAACGCAAATTATCAAACCTTTTAATAACAAAAAATGTTATTTGCATCCTTATCTATTGGATGCAATATTTTGGATGATGTAATTTATAAAAGAAAATGCCTTTTGCCTTCTTATAATTAAGAGGACTCAGATTCCAACTGAATCCTAAGAAATAATATCCCCAGAATAAATGATGCAAAAGCAAATATGTCATTACCTCAAACACTCTCTGATATAATACTATAATTTGGTAGTGTACTATGTTTGGCAAAACTAAGTTAAAAGGACTCATCTACACTATATTTTGATTGTGTCAATAATCATTTTCTTTTTCTTTCTGAGTTCAAGGGTGACCTTTAGCTTTCCACAGCAGGCATGACGGTTCCCTTTCTCTTCTTCCAATGGACGTTACTGCTTATTTTATTTTTGGTGCATTGCACTATTTTTCCAGCCACAGGCACAATTACAAATCACCCTATAAGTTGCTGTCATAACTAGAGCTCCAACGGGGATTCAACAAGATTCTCTGTGTGTAATTACCCAACTGGAAGTTAGCCAGATTCCCAGGACTGCAGCCTCACACTCGTGAACAGGACTCTTTGATTGGTAATAATCATGCCCAGTCAGCAACCCAGTATTTGGAAATCCTTAGAAAGCAACTTAATGCTCTATGAAAAACATGGGACAAATCACAAGAGGAGTAGTATTTTCATAGTTGCCTGTTGCAGGTAGGTCCAACCAGCTGACAATGTAGCCAACTGATACTCAAAGTCATCTGTTTTTGCATTGAAGGTGTATAATAATTGAATGCTGGAACAGATGTGTTTTTCTCCAAATTCATTTTTTTCTGAGAAATTCCACACCTTTCACATGGTTTTATTTTTACCTGTTATGTGTGTCATTTTTCTTCCTTTCCAATGACAATGTTGTTAACAATACAGCTATTTGTGAGCACAAGAACGGCCCAAGATGTCAAAATGTACTCTAACGATTTTTCACATCGAATGCATCTGATTAGTTGCAAGGAGCATCTATTGACACTGCTTGCTGTCATCTGCCACTCCAATTTTTTTTTTTTTTTCCCACAGAATGAGTCTCTTTTTTTTTTACTCTGGTCACATTATCAGAACTGGACTTCAGGGAGATCTGGTGCTGTTTCCTCTGAGCACATTGTGGTTCAGCTGGTTTATAGCACAGGTATTAAGGTATAATGCTAGCAGAGCCCTCATCACTTTCCTCTAATTAAAAGTGAAGTTCCTTCAGCAAAACTCTTCTTCTCAATGTTGCCCCAAACAAGTCCTGAACGTTTCTCATCTGGTGGACCTTCTTTCCTCCTCTTTCTTTACCTAGAAGCCTCCCAGGAGAACTGGGCAGTTAAGAATTTGAACTCCAGAGTCATACTCACAGAGTTCAAATCCTGGCTTAGCCACTTACAAGCTGTGTGTCCTTGGACAACTTGCTTACTCTCTCAGTACCCTCCACTGTCTTATTTGAGACACATGAATTTACTCTAAATAACTAACTATGTTGTGGAAAGAATAAGTGGGTTTATAATGTTATATATACTATATTATTATTCTTCAAGACATTCTTGTTCTATGAAGTTCTCCTACTGCCCCAGCCCCCAGCCATCCTGTGCCTCCTCATGAATAAACACACATTCGACACTTAATCTTTATGTCAGTAAAGGCTGCCACACATCTTATATAATATCTCCTTTAAGAGACTGAGGGACCAGATTCATAGACTTCTGTACAGTACATAGTGCTTGACCCATGTACGTATCTACAACTTTTCTTTTGGCTGGTGTTGTTGTGACTATATATTGTTAAAAAGGAGATTACTCAAGAAAAGTAGGAAGTTTTCACAAAAAAAGTAATTCTGACATACAATTGCAAGTAAATCCCATCAGGAAGAAAAGGAGCACCTAAAGAAACCAATTCTCTGAGACACTTGAGTTTTAAAATGGAAATATTCAAAAGATGGTAAGAAGGGCTCTTAACCAGATGAAAGAGGCATGGACTTATAAGAACTATGTCAGAAAGGCGAAAGCCCCAAGTGAACTGAGGCTTGATGAGAAAAATGTGAGAGACAACAAAAGAAGCTTTTACAGTTTTATTCAGAACATGAAGTTGACAGGGATAAGCAGCTTTCTGCCTTGGGCTGGTGGTCTAATTCTATGGATAACCAAGAGGAAGAACACAGCTGTGATGTAAAAGAGAGGGATTTCCAGACTGAAAGGGGTGGAGCACAGATCTGTAGAAAAGAACAGTAGGAGGGGGAGAAAGAGCTCTGAGATCAAAGGCAAAGAATGGAGACAGGAGAGCCCAGTGGTGAAAGAATATGAGCCTTGGGTTTGAACTTGGCTCTGATAGTCACTGGCTATGTAACCTTGGGCAAATTACTTAACCCCTCGCTGTCACAGCTTCTTGTTCTAAAGAGCAGAGTTAAAAAAGCTTCCTTCATCGGAGAAATTTGAAGGATTTAAAAAAGATGGCATTTGTTAGGCATGTAGCCCAGTAGAGTTGCTAAATAAATTACAGTTGTGGTTGTTGTCTTTCAAATAATTCTTATGTTAGTACTATAATAAAGGGCATCCAGATTCTCTTAAGGGGTTTGGGTCTGCTGCCTTCCAGCAACTGTACCTCAAAGGGCCAAGAGAAATTTCCAAGGGACTGACCAACCTCCACAGAATCTGAAAAATCAGAGACCTAAATATACATTCTAAGACAGGAGGCCAAAAAATGCACTTCAGATTTTGAAACAAGATAAGGAGAAAGCTGGAATCCAGAACAGACCAGCTAAATGGAATGGTTTGAAACACATGAAAGGAACAGTGATGGCTAGAATAAGGTACAAGGAGTCATGACTAGCTGACTTCATTCCCAATCTGCTTTACCCAGTATACACACACAATTTTTATTCTAAATCAAGTTACTAAACCAGGAGATAAGTGACAATGAGCTCCATTAAAATAATGACAGTGTCTTTTTTGTTCCCTGCCAACCCCTCAATGCCTGGCACCTAGTAGGCATTCAACGATTACTGGTTCAATTCAAGGGTGAATAAATCAACAAAATAAAGGGAATGGAATAGGTCAACTATCTCTGTATTTCTATAAGCCATTCCACAGAATAGCATAAATTACTGTAGATAATGTGGAGAAACAGAAAGATGGAAGTACCTTGAAGGAGATTCATAACTGGACAAAGCCCTGGACCCAAAAGGTACTGATTAACCAATTCATGTCAATCTAGGTGAGAAGTCTATTTTCAGATCTCACTGTTCTCTCCATGACTCTGTTCTATTCAGTATGTCTTTTAAATCAATAACTGAGATGAACATATAGAAGACATATTTAGCAATTTTACTCATGATCTGGAGCCAGGAAGAGCAATGAATATCCCGGAAAGTAGAGTTGGTATTTAAACATATTTCAAAGGACTGGGACAATAGATCAGATCAGAGAAGATGAAATGTTTTAACATAATGACTCACTTCTGAATATCACATTAAATTATACAAAGAGCTTCCCTAAAACTTATTTTGTGTAGTTTTCATGATGATGCTATGGTGAATTAAATGGTGGCTCCCAAAAAGATATGCCCACTCAGAACCTGTTGATGTGACTTTATTTGGAAAAGAGGGTCTTTGCAGATGTAATTAAGTTAAAGATCTTCAGACAAGATCATCTGTGAGTAGGATGAATCCTAAATCCAATGACAAAAGCATCCTTAGAAGAGAAGGGGCTATGTCTCAGGGAAGGTGACCTAAAGATGGAGACAAAGACGGGAGGGATGCATCTACAAGCCGACGAACACCAAGGGTTGTCAGCAGCAACTAGGAGCTAGTGAAACATGGAAAGGATTCTCCCTCAGAGCCTCCAGAAGGAACCAACCCTCCTGACACCTTGATTTTTAGACTTCCGGCCTCAAGCTCTATGAGAGAATAAATTCCTATTGTTTTAAGCCCCAAGTTTGTGGTACTTTGTTACCACAGCCCTAGGAAATTAATACACTTAAAAAAACAAAAAACAGAAACAAAAACAAACAAACAAACAAACAAAAAAAACAAAGGAGGAAGCCAAAATCAGAAAGGTAGCAATATTCTGAAAATTCATTCATTTGACAGATATATATTGTGTACCAAGCATTAAACTAATAGAACAGACCTGGCCATAAGGAACTTCCATTCTAATTGAGGAAGACAGTAAGTAATGAAACCAAGCTAACATGTTGTTAAACTACTTAAACAAGGAAGTTATGAGACTGAGGCGGCTATAATTAGCT